TTTGTCTAACGTCCCAGAGAAAGCGGACAAGAATCAAAGCTGGAGTAGAGTGTTTAAGGGACAGCTGTGTGCCACCCCTGTACTAACTAAGGCCAGGGACGGGACCACACGGCGCCAGGGACCCACAGGGCTCCGCCGAGTGAGACCCTTATTTCGGGAACCGCCAGAATCCATGGCCGGGCAGGGAGACCTTTGCCAGAACTCATTTACCATCGGGCCCGGTCTCCACCGCCCGGGGCTCTCCCAGGAGCCTCTCTGGTCTCGCTGAACCTGTGCGTTCCCCGGGGAACTTGTCTGGGAGCATCAGGCTGCGTCCCTTCCTGGGATAACTCCTCTCCTGGGAAACCAGGCCCGTAAGCTCAAACATTTCCCAAGGACAGCTCCAAAATAAATTATTTCAGACTTACCAGAGGCTGCTTAATCAATTCCACTCTTCTAGTTTCTTTGGGTATTTTAGAAGCTGATTTATACATACAATATCTCTCTCAAAATGAGACAATCAACACAGGATAAAATTATTGAGTTATGAAAATAGGGGTCAGATGGAGGTGCAGCGCTTTAAATTAAACCAGCAAAATATATCTTTCATACTAAATTGACTCTTTTTGTCTTGGAAATGAATGTTTAATCAGTTAAGACACCGAAGTTGAGGGAGAAGCCTTAAGCATATTTAATTTTGTAAAGCGGCCCGATTCCACTACCGTATGGCATTCCTGCCAGCGGCCGCACCTTTAAAACCGAAGGGCCCACTCCCACGCGTGTCGGGCAGCCACGAGGGCCAGGGCAGGGGGCCAGGAGGGATCACCGGCCTCTGGGATCAGAGCCCCAGGGGCTTGGCATTGCTGCATTAACGAGATGGCTGTCAAACACCCTGGCCTCGCTCTCCTCTCCAGGGACAATATTCTAACGCGTCTCAGTCTGTGCAGACCGCGCCTGTGGTACCCCGGCCAGCAGGGCGTCCTCTCTGCCACCTCTGGCCCTGCTGCTCTGGCCCTTAGGCACCTGGTAAAACTGAGAGGTGCACGGTAGGGGACGGAGCGGGACTTGAATTTTTTGTTTGTTTGTTTGTTTTACTTAATAGCTGTGTGATGTTCATTCATTCATAAGGCACTTCTAGAACCTACTATATGTCAGGCCATCATTTCCTAAAGGCGCCTCTTCTGGGTGCACACAGGACCATACACTGAGCTTATCAGATTGTTTACTGCATTTTCAGAAGCGGAGTTTTCACCTGTCTCTCCGCCCGCATGCACGAGGGGTTCTTTAAGGGCATCCCGTAGATCCAGGGCTCAGAGCAACACCCAGTCTCTAGTAGGTGCTCAGTAAAGCCCGCTGCACAGCTGATCACAGGTAGGTTGAAAAATGGCTCCACAAAGACACCAGGTCCTGATCCCTGGAACTGTGAATGTTGCTGTACTGAGGGGGAATGTTGCTTTGTGGGTGGGATGGAGTTAAGGCTCTTGAGATAAGGAGATTATCCCGAATTGTTCTTAATGCCATCACACGCATTCTTATAAGAAAAAAGCATCCGTATAAGAAAGGCAGAGGGAGCCCTGGTTGGGTGGCTCAGTTGATTGGAGTGTCATCTCATACACCAGAATGTTGTGGGTTCAATTCCCAGTCAGGGCACATACCTAGATTGCAGGCTTGATCCCCAGATGGGAAGGAAAGATACCGAAGGAAACTGATTGATGTTTCTCTCTCACACTAATATTTCTCTCTCTCTCTCTCTCTCTCTGTCTCTCTCTCTCTCTCTCTCTCTCTCTAATATCAATAAAACATATCCTCAGGTGAGGATAAAAAACATATCCTCAGGTGAGGATAAAAAGCAAAAAGACGGAGGGAGATTTCACTGATGGAAGAGAAGGTGACAGCAGTGTGAAGACAGGTTAGAATAATGCAGCCAGAAGCTTCTGGAAGCTAGAAGCAGCAAGGGACAGACTGGCCGCAGAGCCTCTGAAAGCAGCTCACGCCTCCTGACACGTTGACCTGGGCCCAACAATGCCGATCTCAACCTCCAGCCTCCAGGACTGCGAGTCCGCTGCTGGCTGTTTCCAGCCATCACGTGAGTGGCAACCTGTTAGAGCAGCCACAGGAAGGCGAGCACAGTCCCCTACCTGCTCCGGGCCCCGTCTCCTCCTTACAGGAATCCCTGCCTCACTCGGTTTGGGTGGGACCACGTGAGAAAATGTCTGTAAAGCCCTCTGCACGGGGCTTGATTCCCGACAGGCCACGGCACAGATTCCAGCATCACCCACGGGGCACGCACACCCCTACACACACACGTGCACCCTGCAGCTCGGGCGAAATTTATAAACGTGTCTTCACGGTGCCTCGTCTCTCTCCCTTTGCCAGACCGTCCCGATGGGTGGACGTGTTCTTACGTGGCGTCCTAATTGGCCCACCCGCCCTTCCCTGGATGAAGTGTTGCGGCTTATCTTTCATTACATAACAAGGGAATATAAAACTCAATGGGCCCTTGAAAACTCTGCCTAATGGAAGAATTAAAGCAATCTGAATTTGTGAAGCGTCTTTAACATGAGCTCATTTTAAAGAAATCTGGAAAATGACTGCAAAGTGCCTATTTGGACCGAGCCCAGCAAAAGCATTTCCTGGGCGGAGAAATCCGGGGGTCATCCTTGATAAACAGAGAGCATCCTCTGTAATTATCAGAGCTATTATAACCAGGTGGCCCTACAGACGTACCTGAGAGCCTCTGCTGCCTGTCCCTCCAGCTGAATAAATGAGACTGACGGGACGGCGCTGCCATTTGGTCACAGTGGGAATTTGCTTTATTACTAATACTAAGAATTGTTTACTCAGTGCCAGCCATTCGAGAAGACTTTACATACATTATCTCAGATACATTTCACGGCAAACTGGAGGGCGGTGCTGCGATGCCCCCGAGACAAGGGAACTGAAGTTCGAGAGTGGAGCCAAGGCCTAAGGCAGGTCTGTGGGACGCAGACACCCTCACCGCCACTCCCCCCCGGGCTGCCACCGGTCCCCAGCACCCAAGGCCCGTGACACTGTGGCCCGGAACCACAGCCACGCTCACCCCACATTCACAGCCCTGCCCTGGCTCGTGTGAGCACAAACCCTGAACCGGGACGGTCTGGCGTGGGGGAGCTTTTGTTAGGGAACCGGCTGGCAAGCAGCTCAGGTGCAAGCACTCTGACAAAGTGGGGTGAAAGCCATGCAGCTGCGCTATCTTTAGTTCTCCCAGAGAGAGAGGAGGAAGCGCGGGCCCTGCATTATTGATGGGCCCAAAGAAGACTGCTCCTCAGGAACGGAGCATCAGTTTCCATGGAGCTCTTTACCCAGACCCCGAACATTATAGAATGTGGGTCCTGAGTTGGCTCCCTCCCTCCCTCCTTCCTTCTCTCTTTTTATTTCTCACCTAGAGTCAAAAAAAATTGTGATGGAGCTTACAAAAAAAATACATTGAGTATACAGATTTCTTTTCTAAGCAAGGAAATTTGGTAGTAATTAGAGTAAACAATAAATAAATAAAATGCAATCGACATTGTTAGAATACTAACTGTTTGCCTGAAGTCCCAACTGTCTGCTAGGATTGGGCCACAGACTGGGCTGTGGACTCAGTAGCGTCTGCAGAGGTACATGTGACCCACCCGATACCATGGGAGCCTCGTAGGACATCAACGAAGCAGCACCTCCTTCCCTGTCACAGGCGTGTTGGTGACCCCAGCTGACAGAATTGAGGATGGAGTCCTCGTGGACACAGTGACTGGTGCAGCCACACTTCATCACGGTCCTTCCTGGAAAGGCCAAACTACTGCCCGCCAGAGATGCCGGGGAAGATACCCCATCTCTCCCACCTGCTGCGTGGAAATGGAGATGGGATAGGATCCTGATGACACGGCTGGACTTCCTGGATCCAGCCATGCCTGACACCCTTTGTCTACCCTTGGAGATATCCATCTTTTTTTGCTTACGCTAGTTTGAATTTGGTTCCTGTCACTTAGGAATGAACTCAAGAGTTGTGACTAGTATATATTATTAACTATGAAGAAAAAAGCAAAAGCAAATCATAGTTATTCAGGAGAAGTCCTAGAAATCCCTTAAGAAGCTTTTTCTATTACCCAAAAAATGCTCTGCTGGGTTTCTATAGGTCTTGATTGTTCAAATCAGCCATTATACTAAAAAAAAATCATACTTTTTTTTAGCATGGGATTCAGGACCCTTATGATCCAGGCTCCAGGAACTGTTTTACCTCCTCTCTCCCTCCTTGGCTCCAGGGCCGTTTTCTCTAGCCCATTGAAAACAAATAAACCACATTCGGTTCCGGAGCATGACATGCACCCTCCGACCTCCTGCTTTTGCACACGCTGTTCCCCCAGCCCAGAAGGTCCTTCCCTGCCTTGTGTGCCTGCCCAGTTCCCACCTCGCCTACAGACTGTAACTCAGCGATCACCCTCTCCCCTGGCAGCGGAAACAAGAGACAAGAGTTTTTAAATAATATGGTTCTATTTATATGAAATGTTCAGAATAGGCAAATATATAGAGACAGAAAGTCGATTAGTGGTTGCCCAAGGCTAGGGGTTGGGGGAGGAGTGGGTACAGATTTTCCTTTGGGGGTGACAAAAAGATTCTAAAATGGATTGTGTTGATGGTCACGCAACTCTGGGAATATACAAAAAGCTACTGAATTGCACTTTAAATGGGTGAATTGTACGGCATATGAATTAGATCCCAATAAAACTGTTAAAAATAAAAACTCAGACGAGATTAGACTATTAAAAATAACACTAAAGCAAATAACACCGAGATATGCCAGAGTGCCGGAAGCAAGCAGTGTGAAGCGTGAACGTCCCTCCACTCGCACCCCCGTATTCCGCAGACCCCCGTGCACGTAACCAACTGGGCCCAGACCCTGCGGTCGCACAGAGGGTCCCCATCTGGGCGTTAACATTCTGCCTCCCTTCCCTCCCCTTCCCTGCTGGGACCGGCGAGACCCATGGCGGGTGACGGGAACTCACCGTGGGCAGCTGGCCCGACAGCAGGTGGCTGTCCTGGGCCAGCATGTTGGACACCATGATGGCCGGGAGGTCCATGGCCTGGTAGGGGTAGGCGGGGAGCAGTCCGCTGGGCGCGAGGCTGTGGCACAGCGAGTGGTAGCCGGCTTCGTGGTCCCCCAGGTGCAGGAGGGACGGCTCTGGCAGGTTGGGAGGCGTTATCGGGGGGATCTCATAGTCCTCGTTGCTCTCGCTCTGGCTGTTGTAGGTCTAGAACAGCAAGAGGGCATGCTGTCAAGGGGTGGTGTCTCACGACTGCAGGATGTGCCTACAGACGGCACCTACGACACAACATCAACGGTGATAACAGATGCTTGGTGCAGGAGAGAAGGGACCACCCCCCTGCGAGGCAGGCAGTCAGGATGGCCCTGTGACCCGGTCAGACTCCTGCCCCGCCCCCAAACGGGTGCTTCCTCTGACCAGAGGGTCTGCAAACGAACGCCTGCCCTCCCGTAGAGTGGGGTCAGCTCCTGGTCACCTGTTCTCTGTCCTCCCCCACGCCCCAATCTGGCCAGTATGGCCCACCGTGAATCCATCACCCCACACCCACCCATCTTGCCAATGGGAGAACTGCTCAGAGTCAAGAGGAAAGTGGCTCATCCGGGTTGGTAGAAAAGCTGGGGCTAGAGCTCAAGCATCCTGCTCCCTCCCTGGTGGTTTCCGGGGCAGCTGGACGACTGTCCCTTCCGTGCTCCCTGCACCCGGCCCCCCGGCTCCTCTCCTGGTCTTCCTCATCTGGTGAGTGCACAGACATTCCCCCAGCAGCACAGGCTAGGAGCTCCCTGATTGGTTCATCTTCCCCGCCTCGCTGCTCTGACCGGGGTGCTCCACTACGATGTGGAATAGAAACGATGAGCGTCTCCTCTGCTGGAAGTCTCCGCCTCGCACACTCCCATCCTTGCTTATGCCTCAGCAGTGAGTTTGGTTTAAATGTCTTCTCTGATACATTCTAGAGTAGGTCAGATCCCACTATGCCCTCCCAGGTTCTCCTTAAGAGCACTCATTGACCATGCAGCTAACTAACTTCTTGTATAACTATGTGCTTACTGCTTTAACGTGAGTTCTGCCAGGACCGCCCTTGTATGTCCTGTTCCCTGGAACCTGGCACAAAGTAAGAGCCCAAAACCAACTGGTAGAGTGGATGAATGAGCCAGGTCCTAGGGCAGGTGCTGTAAGCGTGCATCTCGGCATCTCACTCAACCTCCGCGACTGCCCTGGAGGCGGGCGGTCCTGCCCCTATTGTTCAGGAGGCAGTACGGTGCTGAAGGGTGAGAGCCGGAGAGCCTGGGTTTGAATTCTGGCTCTTCTGCGTACTAGCTGTGTGACTTTGGGCACGACACTTAACCTCTCTGTGCCTGTTTCTTCATATGTGGAAAGAGGGTAATAACAGTACATAGGACAGAACTGCTGTAAAGAGCAAGTGAATCAATACGTGCAAATGGCTTGGACGCTGGCACACAGCCAGCGCCCTCAGTGTTGGCTGTTACTGCTGCTGCCGTTGTCCCCACCCGGAGTTTCGGGGATGTTCATGAACTTTTCCAAGGACGCGGAGCGAGGGAACAGCAGCTCACGCACTCAATATCCTCACGTGTTTTCCCCAACTCCTCACCACACAGGTCTGTGCGCCACAGTGGGGGGTGTCTGTCTTCAGCTGACCACGGAGATGGGCTGGTTCCTTAGATGGGACCCATCTGCCGGCATCATATAACTCGGAAAGCAGAGTCCCAGGAAGCCACCCCGGCCCCTGCCCACCCTGCAAGAACCCCCTTCTCTCATTCCCCCTCCATGGCCCTGGTACCTGCTTCCCCTAGTATCTCGACCTCCTGCAATTATTTCCGGTTCTTTGCTCACCTCCTGCTGTGTCCCTCCCCCAGCCCCCAGGCTCCACGGGGGCAGGGGTTAAGGCTGTGTTGTCACCGGTGCCTGGCACATGGTAGGTGCTCAGTCAGAAGGCGCTGAATGAGCACGTGGAAGGGGGGAGTGTGCAGGCTTTAGGGTTAGACCTCACCCAGGGGTTTCCACAGCTATACCCCCCACAGATCGCATGTCCCCAAGTGACCTGTTGTCCGTGTCTGCCAACCGCCACCTTCCTCTCTGCCCACCAGCCCCCAGAACAGGTGCTGGCACATGGCACGTGCCCAGGGAACACTAAATGACTGCACAAGTCCATTCCTTCCACTCAAAAACCCAAACCTCAACACACTGGAACCGGCCCAATCAGCCAGAAGCCTTTTGCAAATATAAACATATGGTGTATCAAAATATTAGAATAACACAATTGTGACAATTCATTTAAAGAGGCAATTAGCATACTTAAAAATAACTGCACATGCAAACACGTACATGCCTCCTTCGAATGCAATCAAATCCTAGATGCATGACGCCTGAATGCCAACCCATCCCGCTACTGACTAAGCGCCTACTGTGTGCCAGGCACTAGACCCTGCTTTTCCACACACATTGTCTGCATGAGTTCTGCGAAGATGTGACGATTCTCTCCATTTTCTCAAAGAAGACGAAGCTTAGAGAGTGAAGGCGTCACACGGCTAGTAAGTCTTGGGCGGGATTCAAACCCAGGTCTGGAGACGCTGAATCCAGCACTTTCCCACACTAGGTCAGAGGCCTCTTCAAGACTCCGACCCCTCGCTCCCCCTGAGTAAGAGACGGGGCGCTCACGGGCGCCGACCTTGCTCTCTGGCACCAGTGCCGTCGTGAGAATGTAGAAAGAGACGCCAAGTTGCAGGAGCTCTAGAAGCTAAAACTGGGAGCAAGACCTTACAGGGAAACTTCCGGAAGAGCTGCCTGGTGCTTTGCACCCACTTTCTCACCAACCCACTCCAGTCACATTGTCTCCCCCTCTTCCACCAAAGCTGCTTGGCAAGGTTGCCGGTCTCCTCTGCGTCACTCATCCAACGGTCAGACCTCCATCCTCACCTGACCACCTTGACCTTCTCAGCAGTGCGTGACAGGGTTGGCCACGCCCCTCCTCCTGGGAACAAACTTCTCCACTGGCTTCTGGGACACCAGGCTTGTGGATCCTCCTAAACCGCAGGCCATTTCCCCTCCACGTCCGTTGTGGTTCCCATTCTCCACCCCTACCCCCGCTGCCCCCCATGATTGAGGATGTGTCACAGAGCTCGGACGCCAAACCTGTCCCCCAAACACGCTCGCTCCTTCGTGCCCTTTGTGGCTTTCAGTCCCACCTCTGTGCTGCTGACTCCCCAGCTCATGTCTGCAGCCTGAACCTCTCCACTGAGCTGCAGGCTCAACAGCCCACTGCTCCCTGACTCCGCTGTTAGGATTTTAATGGACACCTCAGACTGAACGTGTCCCACAGAGAACGTGCCCACCTGTGCTCCTCTCTTCCTCAATGAGTGGCAAGTCCAGCCTTCTGGTCGCTCAGGCCAAACTCCTGGCAGCTGTGCCGGACTCCCTTCTTCCTCTCGCACCCTACACCAGTTCTGTCAGGAAATCCTATTGGCTCCATCGTCAGAATAAATACAAGATGTGACCAGTCTGGTCCAAGCCATCATCTTCTTTACCCTGGATGACTGCAGTGGTCTCCTGGCTGGCTTCCCTGCCCGACCCTCACTAAGGTCTATTCTCACACGGGGGCCGAATGAGTCCTGTTAAAATGTAAGATCGTGTCCCTCCTCTGCTTGCTGCCTCCAGTGGTCCCCTTCTCACTCAGAGTAAGAGCGGGGTCTTCAGAATGGCCACAGGGTCCAGTCTCCCCATTCCACCTCCATGCCTTTCACTTCCTTCCCATCACCTCCTCCTGTTCTCCTTGTTCAGGCCGCTCTGGCAAACTAGGCACGCTTCTGCCTCCGAGCCTTTGCATGGGCTGTTCCCTCTCTCTAGAACACACTTCCCTTCAACGCCCACACAGCTCAAACACCCACACAGCTCACGCCTTCGCCCCCTCAGGTCGTAAACGTCTCTTTTCACTGATGTCTGTGCTCACTGCTCAACTTAAAATCGCAAACCATCTGCCATGCTCTATTGTTTCCTTTTAATCAATTGTCATCTTCTAACATCCAATATATTTTATCTGTTTATTGCATTTATTGATTATTACCCTGCTCACACCACTAGAACGTCTGCTCCATAAAGGAGGAGATTGCCAGATGGTCTGTTCACTGCTATTATCTCCAGTTTCTTCCTGGCATGTAACAAGAGCTCAAATAGTATTTGTTGAATGAATGAATGAATGAACGAACAAATGATCTACTTTCCAAATGCCAGAAGAAACAGTGGTAAGATCATGAGTGGACTGGCAGCCCATGAAGATCCCCCCTCCTAGGACAGGGCTTAATTTTGACTCTGACCCAAGGGTAAGGCACAGACTGATTCAGTCCAGCCTCCCTCCCTCCCTCCGTGGGACTGGGGCATGAAAGTCATAGCTGAGTGTCCTTTGTGGGGAATGAGTTGGGGGGAGGAGGCATGGACACAAATGGCAGAGCCCTGAGGGGGCGGTTACCAACAAGCAAGGAGGTGGAGCTCCGTACCAGACATGGGTTATGGGGCTGCTAGCATCACCTTGTCCCTCAGTTCCTCCTTTTGTGCTTCTCTTTCCAAATCAACCAAGGGATGGGAATTCAGAGCAAAGCGCTGTGGCTGGGATAGAAGGGGAATCCAGAAGGAGGCTCTTCCTGCACCCGCCCAGGAAGGGAAGAACGCTGGACCGATTCGGCCTCGGGCTTTCCCTCTGGGTCAAAGGAGGGTGGTGCGCTTTCTCCTGGAAGTCCTACCAGGAAGGGTGTTAACAAAGTATTGGAGGCAATGGCCCCTCCAGTCAGGGGGGTAAACGGGCAGAGGGAGGCCCTCTCCCTGTTCCTTGAGGAGGTAATGGGGAGGAGGAATTCTAAGAACATCCAATGGACCGGAAGCCTGTTGCAGAGATAAGCATATGTTCCATGGGATTATCAGAATAAATTCATACGCTCACCACAAAAAAATAAAATGACAAAGGAATTGAAAAGTCAACCATAGGCAGTAAAAAAATATATATAAACTCTTTTGAATAATCCTTTCTGAAACAAATACACAAAGCTTGAACCTCAAGGATAAAACGTAAACCCAAGGGATTTCTAGAGGTGGTGAGCCGAAAACCCACTACGGTTTATATCCATTCAAAAAAGCTTTTCCTAAGGTGACCGCAGGATTTAATGTGACAATTTTTTAAGGGTTCCTAAAATAGAAGAGGTGTA